TCAATTAAGTCTATTATTTATAGGATTTATGTATGATTATGTGAGAAAAAGAGTGAAACAAAATATATAGGATAGGTTTTTTTGACGTCGATATTAAATTAGAAATATGATACTAAATTTTAATTATTACTTTCCATCAATCAATAATTATAATTTATTAAAATTAATAATTAATTAATAAACTTAATTGATAAAAATTATAACTGTTAATTAATAAAAATCAATAATTAAAATTTGATGTCAAAATTTAAAATTAGACATTATGTTGAAGAATCCTGCCTTTTTATACGTGTAAAAAATAAATTTTTCTACTTTAGTAAAAAAAATATTAAACCCCTGTTTTATATCACAAAAGTTACTTATCTCAATCTCTATTTTTTTTTTTACTTATCTCACGTAATATCCAACGGCTATCCTCATACCACTTTACTCCCTCCAAAACGTACATTAAGTGATGCAAATAAATAAATAAAAAATACTTAAAAATAATATGCTTTTGTTTGGTGCCTGTTATTTTCACATGAAATCACTCATGTGTGGGAAAAAAAGCATTGTTTTAATAAATAATTATAAAAAGGTTTACTTTTTCTGAAGTTATTGCAGATAAGTTATCTCCAGTAAGTTCAACATGACATCGTTTTGGGACGGAAATCATTGTGTTTTTGTAATTTTAATTTATTTCAGGGTTATTATAGTCTTTATAATTATAATTTTTTAATCTTTTAATTCCAAAACGACGTCGTTTTGAAAGTAAAAGCAGATAACTTATTTGCAGTAACTGCAAAAATATTTTTCTGTTATAAATATATTGTTATTTAAAATCAATTTACGAATCTATTACACTCATTCACGTTCAATTTTGCGCGACCATTCACGCTTAAGTTAGGCGACATTTATGACTTTTTTAAGGGTGCCTCATCTGATGTTGACACATGCTACAAAAAGTCAACAGTTTAATTGTAAAACTTCTGAAAGCTACAACTTTTGGCTTGGGTATTCAAATCAGATAAATTTTTTGTTTTCGATTCCACATGACTTTTCGAAATCTACTCAATAACACCTCATTTGACATATTTTATCTCTCACGAACACAATTCGAATTTGCATCAATGGTACTCCAAGAGCTTTTAAACCCATAAGCCACCGAGTTCTTCCCGAACCAAAATAAGTCACAAAATTCTTTATTTAATGATCTAAAACAAAAGAAAATACACTCTAAATTTTGTTTTCACATTTTGTGATGCCATTTTTAAGAAATCAAAGTACTTTATTTCGGATGAAATTATATGTTCTTCTGCTGTGCAGACAATATTTCAAGTTAAACCTGAGATCAAAAATTTTACCTCTTATCATGTGTTTTAGATATAGACTGACTCAAAAATAAGTCCTTATGCAAATATGATATGTGGTATTAATACAAGCCCAACAATAATCCATCAAAGCAAATGCATTGTACTTACCTTTCCAAAAAATCACATATGTTTAGGAAAAACCAAACTAGAGAAAAAAATACTAAAATAGTTTTGATATTACTATTAAATCAGACCGGACTAGTCAATTCATCTAAAGAATACACAGAACAACAATTACTAAATCACATAGCTATATATGTTTATAATATTGCATTCTTCGACGTCTTTAAATAGTATAATTCACCTCAAACCCTCTTATCAAAGCATGTTTCAGAACATAAAGTTCACCATAAGAATCTAGGAGTCCCATGAAAAACCTGCAATTAGATGCTATAGTTGTAGTCATGAACTTACAAAATGTTAGAAATGAAGAGAGGCAGAACATGGAGAGAAACTTTTATATAATTTTAATGCAATACATCAAAAGTTTTACATTTTTTAATGCAACTTAATGAACATAGAATATATATATATATATATATATATATATATATATATATATGGTAGGATCCTTTGACACCAATGTCAAATTTGAAATTTGACACCTCATCTGAGAGTCATTAGATCAAAAAATATCAACGGATCTGATTTGTAAGCATGTGACACCATTGATTTTTTTTTATCTAATGGCTCTCAGATGAGGTGTCAAATTTTAAATTTGACACCAATGTCAAAATGATCCTACCTCTTTCTCTCTCTCTCTCTATATATATATATATATATATATATGTGTATAAGAACAAAGAATTCTCACCAATCCATCACACACATTATATTCTCACTAATCTCTCTCACTTTTATATTGTGGCACTTTCTTTTCTCACAATATTATACACTTTTTTTTTTTCAAACAATTGGTAGAAAGTATATATTTTACTATGATATTAAGTATCCTTATTTATAAATGGACTAACCCAATTTGGTGCCATCTTTAATTTTAGACCACAACTTACAAGGTAAGGTCTCAATTCACAGTGATAAGAATACAGCCCATAGGATAGGGATAAGAAGATTCTAGTAGGCAGAAGATTGGTTTGGTGTTGATTCGAAAAGAACTTAAGAGTCTTCTGAATTTAAACGCTCTTATAGTACCATTGTTGCAAATTCAAACTGTGTTTGGAGTCATTGTGTAGATCTCGAAAAGTTATATGAAATAAAAAAAATTGCCTAATTCAAACACCTTAGTCAAAAGTTATAGTCTTCTAAAGTTTTACGGTTAAACTGTTAACTTTTTTGTGCTACATGTCAATACCAAATGAGTCACGCCTAGAAAAACATGAATGTCTTGTGAGTCACGCTTAACTTAGGTGTGAATAGTTATGTCCAAATTGAATTTGAATGAGTGCAATAGATTCATAAATTAACTTAAAACAGTTATATTTTTCGTAATTATTTATTAAAGCGCAATATTTTATTCCCCCCCCCCCCCGATTAAGGCAACATTTTATGGGTTTGTACTGTAACAAATGCGTTTGGCTGTGATTTTTATTCTGAAAAAATAAAATTTGAGGGAATAAAGTTAATTATAAGAGAAGTAAAATATTTTAAATTTTTTCAGTGACTAAAATTAATTTTAAGTGTTAAACGCATAAACTTTTTAAAAATACATATAGATTTACACTTAAAAAAATATACTTTTTCATTTAATTAAAATAGATTCTTTTAAACTATCATTTCCACTCATAAATCTATTTTTTTCAACTTCAATTATTTAGTTTTAATTTGACAAAAATTGATATAAATGAACTGTTAACTTATGTCCTATCTGCTTGTAGGATTCTTTTCTGTTATTATACACCTTTTTATTATACACTTTATTATCAATAGAATTTCATATGGATTTGTTAAATAATTTGGAATCGATTGCTAACAAAATCTTGGACTCACTGTTATTTTAATTAAAGTCACATAAAAATTATTTAATTTAAAAATATGTTAAAAAGGTGTAAAAATATTAATTACTGGCCTTCCTCACAATCCAATGGTGACTTTAAATTCCATCTAAATTTAGAATTTCTATTTTTTTTTATTTCTATTTTATATGCATGAAACATGTTATTAGATGGAAATGAATGTTCCCATGTCTCATTTATGCTCATCATGAAGTTTAATAATATTATTTCTTGAAACTTGAAACTTCCGCTTTAATTAAGACTCACCTTTCCAACAAATAATTCACCAGGACTCCATTGATTTCTTGCACATTTGACCAAATAATTAAAAAAAAAAAAAGGATCAAAAGAGACAAGCAAGTTGCAAGTAAAGAGAGAAGCAGTTTATAAAAAAGAAAAAGAAAAAGAGCGAAGCAACTTGCACGTAAATCACAAGCTATGGACAGGGTCATGTGGATGCATGATTTTAACACAATTAATTAGGTAATAGTGATAGCTGTAAAATAAAAAATAAATAAAAAAGAGCGTGAACCTTTGGTTAATTTAAAACAAATAGCCACCTCATTTTCACCGAAATATTCATTGCACTAGGCCCTCCCACATAAAAAAATGGGCCAGATGAAGAGTTTGACTTCACTCTAGCTAAACTTCCTTGATACTTGCCCCCTTGTGGTTCCCAAGGGCGGGATATTTTGTCGTTACATTCCTAATTAGAGCAGGGAATGCCGGTTACCCAAAAAATAAAGGAGAACTTTTTTATTAATGGGAATTAGGATTCCTAAGAATATACCGTAAAAATAATTTTTTTTAAGAATTTTATTAAAAAGTTATTTAATAGTCTAAAATATTTTTAAGAAGTTTGCTTAAGTTTCCTGAAGTTATAGTTAGTTGATTGTCAATAATTCAAAAAAATATTGGTTGATTTTAAAATTAATATTTGATAATTTTTTGATTTTTTTTTAATATGTCACAAAAGAGTCAAAACATGACATTTCGATCATTGGAGCGAAACAACGTAGAACTATTAGGTGGTGTTTGGTTGGGGGTATTCTTGAGGATGTTTATGCAAGTGAAAGTGGAAAAGCAAAACAGCCATGTTTGATTCACGGTTTCTTTCAATTTCTCCATCTAAGTGATTTGCATAGATTTCAACATTTTGTGGTAGATAGCTAGGAAAATCTACTGTTAGGAAAGCCAATTTGTATATGGTTTTTCAAAGATAGCTAGGAAAATGAAGCAAAATACCCAGTAAATTTTTTCTCCACCAAACAATTTTTTTTAACATTTTCCTATTTATCTCACTTTATCTAACTTTCTTACCATTTCCCTATCAATTCTATTTCCTTAGTATTTAAAAAATTTCTCCTCAACTAAATGTCCACTTAGATGGGAATTCAAGAATACCACCTATCTACTGATATTATTTTATGAAATTCTTATTCATAATTTTAATTATCATAATCTCATTTTTTTAAAAAAATTTAAGAATTTTTGTGTCAAATTTGAATAATTAGGATTACGAACGTGAGTTTATATGAAAAAACTATTTCTTACATCACATCACCGATGCAACTTGATCTCAAAATTGTCTAGACTCTTACATTTCGTGTAATACAACTCTTTAAATACCATCAATTTCCTTTTACTTTTTCATTACTCACAAGAGAACATCCTTCATTCTTCACCAAGATCCAAGATGAAGAGGCAAAGAGGTGTGAATGTTAATGGGGTTAAACCCACGAACCCTACCAAAGTTGAAGATGTTGCAGCAATGGGGAAGAAGAAAGCAAAGAAAGAGGCGGAGCAGAAGGGGGGCAAGAGCGTGATGGAGGAGGAGGAGAGGAACGAAAGCAGAGAATTAGTGGGTGGGCTGTTGCAGGGAGCAATTGATAGTGTAATGAGTTGGTGTTGGGATGAGTATATGCCACCATGGTTAGGAGGTGTTGTGGATGAGCAAATGTCATGGGGCTCCACTTGGTACCCAGGGTGGGACATGGACTTCATGGGTGAAGCTTTCAGTTCATTGTATAGTGATGTTGTTTGGGACGATGATATCTGGAATTTGAAAAAGGAAATTCCAATTCCTTTAGATAGAAAGAGGTTTGATTGGTGATAGAGCTGTAAAGGTAGAACATATACGAGTCCTGTAAACCATCGTATCTTACATATTACCTTTCTTTCTATATTGTTTAGCTAGGAATTAATGGGATTTCACTCTTTTCTTGTCAATTATATCTGTTGAATTCACTCTCTGTTTTTAATGTTAATTTCTACAGAGCATTTTTAATTGAGTTTGTTACTTGGCAATACCAATACTTTCATGAAAATCAGAAACATGCAAATGGGAAATGAAAACTTCCCTGTACGTATTGTTTGTGATTCAAATTGTCCTCTTGGAAAAATTTGGAGTGGTTTCTTCTGAACTTTATCCATGGTCACCCAACAAGTGCTATTCTGAGCCTTTTTTAATAAAAAATTATGGCATGTACTGAGAATTGGATAAATTATTTATATTCACTCAAAAAACAATTATTTTGGGTTAAAAGACTATTATAATCTTAAAATAATTTAATTACAAAAATATCTTATTTTTTGTCCTAAAACGACATCATTTTAAATTTAATATAAATAACTTATTTATGTTTATTTCAAGCAAAAGCTAAACAAAGAGCTTTTAAAATAAAGCACCTAGCTACTTAGTGATTATATAAATTTTTTAGATTAAAAGTTATTTAAAAGCTAAAATTAAAAATAAGTTGATACAACTTAAAAAATGTTTATGAGCTTTTGACTTTTGAATTTTTTTTTCATTATAAAAAATTATAGTAGTTTTTGTAAAAGTTTATTTAGCCTAGTTTTTACTTATTAGAAAAAAGGAAGCTGAAAAAAAAGTCCTCAGACACTCAGGATGTGTATCACAATCATTCTGTTCTCTAATACTGTTTTTGAAAAAAATAATTCATTTCTATTTATGTGCTTTGGAATAGAGAAAAAAAATATGTTTGATAACATATTCTATTTTTATTCTAAGAATGAGAATTGTGTTTGATAACACAATAAATGATATAATAAAAAATAATTTCTATTAAACATACATTTATTTTGGACTTTTTATACGGTGTAGTGGTGGTGGCAGCGGCTGCAGCGATGATAGTGATAGTTGGTGACGGTGGTGGTGGTGGCAGTGGCGGTAGCGGTGACGATAATGGTTGCAATGATGATGATGGTGATAGTGGTGAAGGTGGCGGTGAAGGTGGCATGGTGGTAGTGATGGTCGATGGGTGGAGGTGGTGGTTAAGGGTATTCTCGATTTGGGTTGGATAGATTTTGAAGTAAAAAATCATCCGATTCAATCCCTTCGGTTTAATATTTTAATCATCCATTAAGTTTAGATGTTTTTTAAAATCCAATTCAATCTAATCCATTTTAATTCGGTTTGAATTGGATCAATTTTCAATTTTTCTAAAAGTTTAAGTTTTCAGCCATACAAATTTACAAACAAATGAAAAAATTAAGTATTCGAACTAAAACAACTCTTAAAACTCTTAAAGAGTTAAAAATCTAAACCAAAATAGTTTGCTATTAACAACATCTAAGATTCAAGTTTACAAAATAACAAAATTCCAAGTCTACATTTTTCAAAAATAATAAATATATAATACATTGGATTGATTTTCACCAACCAAATCGAAAACTGATTCAATCCAATTAAAGTATGTTGTTTTTTTTTTCTTTTTTTTAGCTTTTTAGTTTTTGGTTAATTTAGTTATCGGGTTTTCGATATTCAATTAATTTGGTTATTGATTTTTCAGTTCGGTCACCGCAGTTTGAGTCGGTTTGAAATGATTAATGAACACCCCTAGTGGTGGTGACATCGTGATGGTGGCGGTGACGGTACTGGTGAGATTTTGTGCCCGAGAACAAACAACTAGAAATTTTTAGATTATTGTTTTTGTTCTTCAGTACAAAAATTAAACCAATTTTTTGTTCTGGTAACAAAAAAAAAATCAATTTTATTAAACGAGTTTTCTATCCATTTTTTGTTCTTAAGAAAAAAATAAAAAAAATTAATTTCGAAAAGATTATCATACACACTCATTATGTGGTCAATTTGGAAAAGCGGGAAGTTTTTTTTTTTTTTTTTATGTTCCAATCTTATTTTTACCGCAAAAAAAACATAATATTGTAGGGTAAAAAATTAAAATAATAAATTTTTGAACCTAAAATAATTAAATTTTAAAATGAGAACATTTTGCTCCCGTGAACATGTCGCAACGCTATTCCACATGTTCTCTAATTTATTTGATTTTGCGTACATGTACATGTTAATTGGTGTTTTAAAACTCGAATATGTTAATTTGGTCGATGTATTAGGTTATTGGATTATTAATTCAATCAGATATATTATTCACATATAAAAAATATAAATATAGTACTTATATTAAAAATTCACATAAAAAAACTAATAATTATAGAATCTTTTTCATATTATAATGATGAATAAAATGACAATTCATTATGCAGCAAGAAATAAATTTTCAAGCTTATTGGGTTATACTGCTACACTCCAAAAAAACCAAAAAGGATTATAGTTTTCATTGCTTAAGGCCAAAGTTTATGTAGGGGTTTATCTAATCACTATTGCATGTTGTAGGCTTTCAAACAAATAATGAGATGCACCACATTAATAAAAGAAAAATGTCTCATAATACTCTTAGGGGGCGTTTGGTACAGGAGAAAAAAAAAATTTACTGAGAAAATAATTTTACCGGAATGTGATTGGAAATATTTTATTCCGGATAAGTTACAAAAATGTGTTTGGTTGACCAAAATTTATCCCAGAAATATTTGATTAAGTTTAATGAATTGATGTTTGGTTGACTGTGAAATAGTAGTAGGGATGTGGGTTATTTTACAAACATAACCCCACTTTTACTTTTTTATTCAAAATTAGTACACAAAAGGTAGGGTTAATTTGGTCAATATTATTTTAGTTGCTTTTTACTTTTTCATGCAAAAAATTATCCCACCTAAACTTTGGGTTTTCTAACAACATAATCGTACAACAATTTACATATAGCAACAAAAATCAGGCAAGTTTTTTACCAGGGAAAGATTTGCATTTGTTGCAACCAAACATAACATTTTAATTTTCCATACGAAGCTTTCCAAGGAATTTCAATATAATCTGAGTAACAAACACCCCCTTATAGCTACCAGAAATGACCATAGTCATTTTCAACCAACAACAAAATGTCAAACTTCTTATTATCAACATTAAAGAAAAACAAGCAATAATTTCACACGAACTAAAATAGAGTGGCGCCAAGATTTATAACTTGTGAGCTAAAGATATAACAAAAAACAAAGTTGATTGTGACTGGTCCAAATCATATTTCGTATAACTCGTCCGATCATCGAGATTTAACCGAGTTGACTGGTTCAAACCGGATTGATTGTACGACTAATCTAAATAATCGCTCGAACTGAAAAACCAATCTAATTATCGAGATCTGAGTTGATCTTGCCCGTCCGAGATGAATTTTAAAACACTGATGTTAACGATTAAATTTCAATGTGTTAAGAAACTACAAGGGTTTTTTTTGGTTAGATGAAATTATAAGACACTGATGTTAACAATAATTGCAAAACTACAAAATTTATTGCAATAAATTAGGAGGATTTAAATTATTCTAAAACTATCCATCCCTAGTAATTTTTTTATCAGTTATTTCTATGGTGTTATTTTTTGTTCAAAGGACTCGGACGTCGTTTAAAACCTCCTTTGTTTTGAACGGTAAACGAAAATAAAATAAAATTATAAGATGTGATCGAAGAATATTTGCACATATTTTTTTTTTATAAATCATAATTTAGCCAGGTTAAAAAATAAGATATGAATAATAAAAAAAATAGAGATAAGTAATTTTAGAATAAATCACATTTAAATTTTACTCTTTAATTTAGTTGCACTACCTTAATAAATTGCTACGTGGACCATATAATAACTTTTTTTCTGGTAAACATATGATAACGTTTTTAGCAAAACATTCCATTTTCAATTTTTTAAAAATATTTTTAGGTAATTTTTTTTATTTTTTATTTTTTTTTACCGAATATTGTAACTTTGAATATCTTGCGCTAGCATAGCAGACTAGCAGTAAAAGAGTGTTTGGTTGGAGAGAAATTTTTTAATACTAAGAAAATGTAAATATTAGGGATTTACAGGGAAAGTGAGTTAGATAGAAATTTTTTTAAAAAGTTGTTTTGGTTGGGCAAAATTTTACCAGAAAAATTGAATTAAATTTCTGAATATGTGTTTGGTTGAAGATAAAATATTGATGGAAAAACTTAATGAAATTACAAAACTATCCTTATAAAAACTCCTTGGTTTTATTACAACCTTCGAACCACGAAAGAAGGAGGGGTAAAGTTGTCATGTCTTCATCACCTTTTTCATTTATCCGATTTTTTACAGCAATTCCACCTGTTCAGACGGCTTCCTCAACAGTACATCAACCCGTTTTTTGCTTGTCTTCCTGATTTGCTAGGCAAAGCTAATTAATGGACAAATCTACCGAAAAGCTTCAACCAAACGTGATTTCATCAAATTCTCACGTAAATTCTCATGTGCACTTTGGGAGCAAAATTTTCAGTTCTTGCCAGTAAACACTACCTAAAGCAATCTGAAGGCGTGTCAAATCCAGGAAGTGCTTTTGGAATCAGATAACATGACCCTTATTTAGGAGCACATTTTGGGTGCAATGTGATAGGTAATTCCTTACCAAAAAGAGAATAAAAGAATAGAAAAGGAAATAATCATAAAAGAGTAGCATAAATATATTATTTTGTTCTATATTTGATATAAAAAAATGTACCAAAGTGGTAAATACATTTGTAGTACTAAAAATATTTTTCTTATTTAGACGTGGCGGCAAGAAACTCAGCTTTGCGAGATTATTTCTTATCCCAAAGAATCTTCTCCTAAACTCAGTATGCTAATGATTTTATACAAAGCTAGACTGTGAAGCTAAAATTGTACTTCTGAATTTTATTTTATTTTATTTTTGTTTAAGAAGAATAATAACAAAAATTGTTGGAACAATTCAAATT